CTAGGTTAGTGTATTTTAGTTACTTTCATAGCGTAATGTCTTATGGAATTTTGCTATGGGGTAATGCGACTGATATTGAAGCTATATATATATATATATATATATATATATATATATATATATATATATATATATATATATATATATATATATATATATATATATATTGTTTTGCAAAAGAGAGCCGTGCGGGTGATTCATAATCTTAATTGTAAAGACTTCCTCAGAGAAAATTTTATAGAAATAAACATATTAACTTTGGCATCGCAATATATTTATGAAAATGTAATGTATGTACAGAAAAACATAAATAGCTTTAATAAGAATAAGGATGTTCATACCTTAAACACTAAGAACAAATATAAGCCTATAATGCCAGTTACTAGACTCCACAGAATTAGTAGTTCATTTATAGTGAAATGTATACGCTTTTACAAAAAAATCCCAGAACATGTTCAAAGTTTGTCAAATAGTGTGTATGACTTTTATAAGTCTATGTTAGTTTTGATGAAAATTATTATTGCAGATAAAAGCCCTTTCACGTTTATTTTAGTCTCGAATTAATCAAAATTAAAATTTGAACTTTGGCTCTTTATAACTGATCTTCAAATGTAAAACACCGACATAAAATTATATAATTATCGGCATTTTTTTTAATTCATTGAACTTTTTTAAGATTGTGTTGAAACTCTACTGATAAAAAAAAAACAAATACGTATATTATAGTTCTTGACGAACATAAAGTATCCGCGTTACATCGCATCCCACCAAGAATTTCAAATGTAGGATAAGACGTGATAATAACTGTAAACAATAGAATAACAAAATAATTAAAACATTTGTAAATACTTGCTTTACAACCTAATAAATATTATTTGACCGTAATAAAATAAAACAAGGTAGTCTTCGGCATGAAAGTAAAAATAAATATTTTCGATTATTTTTGCAATATCTAACAGCCGGATCAGCGCGCGATTCAGCTCCATCTAAAAATGCTAAATTTCAGCAAGCACTGTCAAATTCAATAGGAGTGACAAAAAACGCTTCTTGATATAGAAGGGCAAATAAACTATTTAACCAATAAACCTATAAAGTAAAATCACTTTATTAAAAATCAAAATAGCCCAATAGCTTTATTAACATGAGAAACATAAATGTACGAATACTTACAATACTTTTTTTTTCTTAAAAAAAAAAGTTACCTCCACATAAGGACTTTCTCCTGTATCGTGGGTTTTTTTTAGTTTACATACATAAATTTCACAAGGACATACATCCAGACCCGAAACAATTATTTGTAGGCCATACAAATACTTGTTCCGTGCGGGATTCGAACCCGTGGCCCTTGGTTTTTAAACTCAATGTGTTATTTGCATGCTATTTTCATTATGGCGAAACATATGCGCTCTGTCAAACTTGTAACAGCTTATAATACTATGTTTCTAAGCAAATAAAGAAATTATTATTATTATTATTGGTGCTACAACTTATGGAACGCTAAAGAAACTAAGCCACTGCGCCACAGAGCAGTCATTATTTAACATTATTTTACTGAAATCTCAGAAAGCTTTTTTTTAATAGAATAAGAGTAACAAACAAGCACACAGTCCACCTGATGGTAAGTGGTTGCTACGGTCAATAGACATCTACATCTATTCTCGAATACGTATCAAAATGTAGATGCGTTGTCACACGCTAGGACTAAGATGTAATCCCTCGTTCCAAGTAAAAACGAACTTCGATTCTCTACACTCATCGTACGAAACACAGCAGGGTTAAACTGCTATTTTACAATGGTATTCTGTGAGAGCGTGGTCCTTCCCCGGTCGAGCCGACCCATTCGTGCTACAACTATACCTACTACTAATATAGCTACAGCATGGCTCTACCACGTAAGAAAAAATTGACGTTAAAAATTTAAGTATTTTCAGAAGCAACTTTGCAATTATTTTCGATTGAGTGAATTTTTGTCGAATCGTGTTTTGCAAACCGCCACCTGAAATACGTACAATTTTTTTCGATAACGACGTGAAATTACAAAACGATCCCCATGCATATAAATGTGGCTCCATTCATCCTCTTAATATAGACATACCTCGGGATTCAGAGATAATTTAAGATATAATATTATATTATTACTGTCCCGTGTGAGGTAACCTTTATACTTATAAACATATTCTCATCATATTTTTATGGTTGGTTAAAAAAATTATATCTACATGCAAACTTTCATAGGGTAATTTTTTTTACTATTTTTACCCAGCAAGTAGTAAAGCAATTACAATTCCACCGATAAGTGGTTATGTAGCCTAAGATGGTGAATTGCACTGACTTAACAAAAACCTATTCACTCTTGCCTAATAGTAGTAGGTAACTATTATTTGCGACTTATTTGTGTGTGTGTGTGTGTGTGTGTGTGTGTGTGTGTGTGCTTGTGTGTGTGTGTGTGTGTTTGTGTGTGTGTGTGTGTTTGCGTGCGTATGTGTGCGTGTGTGTGTTTGTGTGTGTGTGTGTGTGTGTGTGTGTGTGTGTGTGTGTGTGTGTGTATGTGTGAAAAAAACCGTATGAGAATACGTGAAGAGGAATAAAGGTTGAGTACTACTTCGCTTACCGGTACGAGGTTGCTACTCGAGAACCTTTCTTTCTATTTTTTATCGGTTTTCCAAGTTATATAGCCTGCTCATTGCCATTTCACTTTAATATTCCATTGGGCTATCTCAGTTACTATGGTTCTACTGCGAATATCTTCATTTCTAATTTTATCGCGTAGAGAAACACCTCTCTAATTTAAAAATTTTACATTTTTTAGATGATAGTTTTTCTAACATTTAAAAAAAACACAAACCCAAGAATGTCTTTATACAGTTATTTATACTTAGGGAAGCACCATTTTTTTATTTATTTTAATTGTTTGATTTAATTTGATAACAGTGTATGTAAATGTAGGTATCTGTATCTATATTTCTCTCCCCAATAATATTTTATTATTAATGTCATACTCATAAAAACAGCGTTTTATTGTAATACATAATCATAAAATTCAGTATCAACTAATTAATGAAAATATGCAACAATAAAATTACATAGATATTAAAAACTATCGAAATCTAAGTAACGAGAGCATGTTGGTCGTTCCACAGTTCCACATGTAAATTATATAAAAATGCATTTTTCAATTTCAATAATCAATGTCGCTGCGAAAATTTCTTCTTCTTTGGGCACTTTAAAAATTTATTTATTTAGAAAACAATATTTACAGTTACCAGTGTAAGTATACAGATATTAACTAAATTTCTAGTCATAAAAATAATTATAATTGAGTATAAACTTTTAAAAAACTAAAATATATTTGAACGAAGTCGCTCCAACACTGACACGCGGTCCACCCTCGACGATGTCCGAAAAAGGACTGCGACAGGGCTCGCGGGTGATTACAGGGCGACGGAGCATGTACGCTCGCGCAAATATATACAATTTCAGGGAAAAATTATATTTTCTCTTATAAAACGGGAAAAAATAAATAAAACTCTCAATTAAAAATATTAATATTTTTAAGACCTTTTTTTTAGTGTAAGAACTATTTAAATAGGCTTGTGCTGTATTGGAGAAATTTTTCAAAATATGACAAAGATAGGTAGTCTTTGGGGATTTCTTTTCTAATAAGGGGTTGACAAGAATACAATTTTGTTCAATTAAAAACATTCACTAAATCCTCTTCTGTTACCCTGTATTTTTCCTTTGTGGGTTAAATGAACAGTTATAGTGATTTTTTTACTTAAAAATCAAAGAATTTAGGTATTTCAACCGCAGTTAAGGCCTTAAAAAAGATATTCATTTATAAATATTATATTCGAAATAGTATTGTATAGAAGCCGTATGGTAGCGGTATAAGATAATCTATTAACTTATTTCGTCTCGTGGGTGTCGTAAGAGGTAAGTTTGGGATAATCTTTATAATTTATAGTTTGCGACAGGTAGTTTAGGTTATGATAGGTCAGAATAGGTATAATTATCTCGCTTACACCAACGCAAAATACTCAGACTGCCGACGGGAAGCGATTATCAATCCAGTCCAATGGTAGGGCACGTATAGGCTATTACTTTACTGTACTATAATTATTGATCATTTGTTAATGTTTGCGTTAGCGCAGCCACCATATTGTCAACGTTTCTTATATCTTCTGAGGGCACTTGCGATACTATTACCACATATTATAATACTCGTATTTACTTTTTTAACCACACCAAGATTAAAAAGCTTGTACTAGGAGTGGCAAAATGTACGATACTTAAAATATCCACGAATGTTTTGTATCTTATATTCCGTATCCTGAACATTTCGGCTACCGTCTTTTTTACGAGTATAGTATATTTATATATATTTTTTTATAGAATAAGGGTGACAATCAAGCACGCAGTCTACCTGATGGCAAGCCATTGTTGTGCCTCATAGACATCTACATCTACTATCGGTTGAGAATGAAAACGCAGATGCCTTATCACCCCCAAGGAATGCCTTGTTTCCAATGAAAGCGTCACCGGTTTTCTATGCTCACCATACTAAACACAGCAGTATTAAGCTGCTATTTCACTCTGGTGTTCTGTAAGAGTGTGGCACTTCTACGGTCGAGCCGACCCACTCTCACTCATTTGTGCTACAACCATAATATAGCTGCAGCGTGGCCTTCACATCTAAAGTTCAAAGTGGTGATAGTATACGTGAAGGTTTTGTTGTGTTTTTTTAAATACTATAAATGCTATAACATTAATAGATACTAATATTCTTTATAACCACTCCTTGTAAGCTTAAAATCCTTGTGTTTGGAATGGCAGATTCGAATCCACGACCATTTAAGTTCGAAGTCCGCACCCTCCCATTCAGTGATTAAGGTACTTTTACTTAAATAAAATGGTGTTTGATTCAAATAAAGGCAATAAACTCGGAGGTACATGATTTATTAAATTACTTGACGGAAGACATACTGCTAGTTTCAAATAAATTAGTGAACAGCGACCAGAGGGACGGTCTTAACGACGGGTGTGTGGTGAACGACTGAGGTGCTGTGAGCGATAGCGGCAGGGGCTGTCTTCACCACCACTGGGGTGTGGACGGCGTGGACAACAGGGGTGTGGACGATTGGGGCAGCGTGTACCACGGGTACGGCGGTCTTGATGACTACTGGGGCAGCGACGAGTGGTGTACCATGGTTGACGACTTGGCTGCTCTTCGTAACTGTGGTCTTTGCGGCCACTACGGGTACAGCGGCGTGTACCACAGGGGCTGTGTGGACAGCGGTGACTACTGGAGTATGGGCTACCAGTAGACCAGGGGCTGCAGCGGCGCAAGCCAGAAGAGCGGTGAAGACAACCTGGAAATTATGAATCCATTAGTGGACTGGGTTCTTGTTTATAGGTGTAAAAATATGACAGATAGTAGGAAAAATGGTTGCTACAAAAGTAAATACTAATGTATTATTTTAACATTGCTGGAACACAAAGAGATTGAATTTGCTTAAGGAGGTTATTAAACCTGCCAATTCCTTTATGTCCAACCAAGCTTTTGTTTCTTTAAGAAATAGTTTCGATCAATTTAATAAGCTCGCGGTGAAAATGAACTGCTTTAAGCTTTTGGTATTGTTTGCGGTGATGTCGGGAACGAATATAAATGCTGGTGACGATTAGATTAATAATGAAACTACAATGGAATAAAATTTGTCAAAACGTTGTAAAATTGTCTTAAAGTAGAAATAAGTAAATAAATACTAAATAGAGATTGTCGAATTTGAAACTGTACGCACCTACACTATATTTTTATCCCTGTTATCATGTTAAGTATAGAACAAATTAATGTTAAAATCTACTAAAACAGGACACACAAAAAGGGCACGCAGGTTTAGTTTTTATATTACTTATCGGTGCCTATTTCAAGCTATTTAAGGTTGTACAACCTTACAATAAATTAAAACCACTACAGGCTGCTTTTTCAATCGACAAATAAAAGTATCCCACCGTAAAAAACATAATATTACTCTCACGACTGTCACTTGAGACATGGTCAAAAACTACAGACTTCCATTTGATATGATCCAGACACACCTCTCGCAATTTTCTCGCATACGTTTATTACGCTAACATGTTCGTCTGTTGAGGCTACTCTAAACGTGGTCCATCTTCAATATGTTTATCTCTGCTTAGCCTAATGAGAGAGAATGCTTACGCCATTAAGTCCGCCATATTTAAAATATTTATAAAAGTTTAAATAAACAAATAAATAAATAAAATATTTGGCGACAGTTTGGTCTATAAAATTCAGTCTTTCATAACTCTGCCTTTCATTTATGCAGAATAAATTTTCTTTAATTTAATTTAATGTTGTTTTTTTTTACTTCTTCTTATGAAATAAATTATAAACTAACTGAATATGTTAAAAAAATTGAACTAAATTATTCATAAACTGTAAATACTGTTACCGTGTAGTGGCGGTGTAAGAATATCCACTAGCCCATATCATCCCGTATGTGTCGTAAGAGGCGACAGAGGGAAACAAATCAGAAGATGGGCAGCAGTATCTTCCTAATAACGACTAAAAATAGGAAAACTGCCGTTGCCAAGAGTGACAAATATGGCATCTCCCTATGAGGCAAATATGGGAAGGCCTATGTTCAGCGTTGGACTTTAATAGGCTGTAACGGTAACGGTCTGCGTCTTCGTCTTCGTCATTATTACGAGTATTACTAGTTTCTAATAATACTGATATTAAAAAATAATATAAAACTATTATAACGACCAGGTGCTTGACTTTTAAGTCCTTAAGAAGTTTATACGTCTTTTAGGATGTAAGTATTAAACAACGTCTTATCTTTTTTTCAAAGTTTTGCTCGAAGTTTTACAATAGAATTAGGAGCTTATAAGCTTCCTAAATACAAAAGCCAGCTCGAATGAGATCAAATTAAATGCCTCGATAGATGATAATATTGAATAAGCCAATTGAAACTTGATAAGGATTTTCTATCTATACAAATAAATAAAATTGAAATGTCTGTTTGTAATGTCAAAATTACAGCGTTTTACTAAAGGCGTATGAAATTACAAACGGTACTTATAACAAAAATACACTTTTTAAAAATTTTGGCTGACTGTCTGTCCGTCTGTTTGTTCCGGCTAATCTTCGAAACGGCTTAAACCGATTTTGACGGAATTTTCACTAGCAGATAGCTGATGTCATAAATATTAACTTAGGCTACATTTATTTTAGAAAAATAATTAGGGTTCCTTGCAAAAAAAAATTAAAACCCAAAATTACACGCGTCGAAGTGGCAGGGAACAGCTGGCATAGAATAAGAAAAAAAAAAGAATCACATAGTCCACCTGATCATACGTGGAGACTGTGACCCATAGATATCTACATTTATCCTCCATTGCGCAACAAAATGCGAAGCGTTGAGCCACCTGACGTCTAGCATGGAACGCCTCTTATCCAGTAAAAAGGGTCTCCGGTTCTCTACTACAAAACACCAGCATTGCACTGCTATTTTACGTTGGTATTCTGTGAGAGCGTGGTGCTGCCCCGGTTGAGCCGACACATTCGTGCTACAACCATAATATAGCTACTGTGAAGCCTTACCAAGTAATAATTAATTAAAATTTTTATCAAAAAAAAAACTCACGAATCCCTGCATGTTGTTTTTTGGTGTTTTCTAGAGGTTGACTGTTTACCACTAGTTGTGTCCGACTTGGAGCGACTGACTTATCTAACAATGGCTCGGCGCCGCTCGGTATATATACCGGTCCTGCCGAAAAGCCACAATAAGCACACGCAATTTCGTACTTGAATATCGTCATCTAAGATACACGCAAAAGGAGCTTGCGTGGATACGGTATTTTCAACTGTGCTCACCTCTTCCTTGTGTGAAAAAAGTTGTTTGTAATTTCAAATATAGTTTCTTTTAAAATATTCAGGCATTCCAGCCTCGTATCTAGTAAAAAGGGTCTCCGTTTCTTTACACTCACCTTACGGAACACAATAACATTACGCTGCTATTTCACGCTGGTGTTCTGTGAGGACGTAGTCATTTCGCAGTCGAGCCAACCCATTCATGCTACAATCATTATGTAATTTCAACCTTGATCTACTATGCATAAAAATGTAATTAGTCAATGGTTTGTTAATACTTCATCTGATGTTGAATGGTATCAAATTGGTCATAGGTAGGTGCACGTCTTCAATATTTCATTCTCACCTTTTTACAACAATATCTCTACATTATTTTTCTTAATCCAGAATAAACGTCTGTCAGCCACAGTGCAGTCATCCTGGGGTAAGTGCATATTCCGTCATCCATCGGTAGCTTTCAGATCTTTCTGGAATTTTATATAGTACGAGACATTACACACTATCATATAAAATATATTTTTTAATATTATTAAACTGCCGCATCCAATAAACTTTCATTCGACTCCTGCATCATTGCTTGCCTTCAGGCGGTTCGCGTTGAGATTTAATAAATAAACGAATATTTAAGCAGTTCCAAAGCGTTCTTCAAGTGGGTATGTGTGTCGATGCCAAGTTCATTCAAGTGTTAGCGTAAACCTGTAATAGTTGTATGTGCTAATGTCATAACATTGTTTTAAAAAACAAACAAACTACTGAATATTTTATTAATATATTATGGGCTACACATCTCGGGTAGTTGCGGCTTATGAATGTTCACTACCCCATATCGTCCGATAGACGATAGAGGGAAACAAAACAAGAGGCAGGCAGCAGCATCTTCCTAATAACAACTGAAAATTTAAAAAAAAACTGTGGTCGCCAACCCATTTGTCGTGCGTGGTAACTATAGCCAAATCCACCTGATGGTAAGATCATCGATTAATAATCTAAAAGCAGATGCGTTGCCACTCCTGTGGACTAAGATGTGACGCTTCCTTACAATTTAAATGGGTTTCTGGTTTTTCACACTCATCATATGTAACACAGCCGCGTTAATTGCTATTATTCGACGGTATTCTGTGCTACAACCAAAATAGCCGTCGCATGGCTCTGTTACGTATTCATTAATAATATTAATAAATATTTAGCAATTAGCGATACAATAGCAATTATCTTAAGTGATTAGGTTATTAGTAATATATCCAGAACTAAAACGGGAGCAGTGTGAATGTTGCGAGAATTCTGATGCTGAAATCGTCAATCCACCCGTAAATCATTTATTAAGACGAATTCTCCCAACAACGTCCAGCAGTGAACTGTCACGATCTGATAATTAAGAAGAAATTTTAAGGCAACAGTGAATAGGCTTTTGTTACGCTAAGACAGTGCGATTTATCATCTAGGGCTGCATCACTACTTACCTACTACTAGGTGGTATCGTGGTCAAACACTGGCTTGTAATAAGTAAAAAAAAAAGAAGGATAAGAGGATTAGTTTTTTGGCTCATAGTATTTCTTTGATCAAACCGCCATTTCCCTTCCTTTTTGAAATAGTAATCAGAACTTATATCATCATTAGTTTTAAAACTTTATAAATGTTATGCATTTGCGTACTAGCTTGGACTTTTTATCGTTTAATTTCTCAATGTCTATTATTAAAGGTTTCCTTAACTTTCTGTTATAACCTTATTTTTCATCGTACAATAAAACTCCGAATGATTTCCGAACTGGAACTTTCGATCGATCGATTTTACTATAAATAGTAACGATGCTTAAGATATTTATGATTAATTACATCGTAATTATAGTGTTTTAAACTATAATTACGATGAAAATATTTGGGGGACGAGGCTGCTCGAGTCCGTAAGAAATACTTGAAATCTGACTCCTTACACGTGACCTCTGGGTAGTGCTAAACAAGCAGCACCAATTCCGTTGGTAGGTTTCAGCCGCTGGCGTTTCGGGTATCACTCACCAATGCAAAGTCTTGTCGCCAAATGACGTTGTCGTGTTTCGACATGATGCTTGGTGAAGCCATATGGAGATTAGATCGGAACAGTAGCGCTGTGTGTGTAAACCGGGTGCGAAGCGTCAGTTGTTGCTGTGTCGCGTGCTTGGTCGTGGAGGGTAGTGGTATCCGAATTACGGTGTTCCACTGGCTGACCCCAGGTAGTTTGGGGCCCAATTAGTGAATTAGCTACTCATGAAAGGCTGCCCCGCAAACTGGCGAAAAATTCCAGGGTGGCTCCATCGTGCCGATTAGCGACCGGTTGAGAGGACCAGATGGCGAACTCTGAGGGAGGTTCAGGCGACCCCGCAGTTGCCAGATAATGTTCCCATGGGCATAGCAGATCTGATAGTTTCGTTTGGTTGCTAATGCAACGCCTCGTTCGACTGCCATTCTCTATTCTTATTCACTCTTTACTCCCAATATGTATCGTAAAAAGAAATGTATGGCTAAACAACGGTTGCACGTCCTCTCACTAAAACTTCTGTCGGCCTACACTGCCTCCTCTGGTGAAACCGGTGTCACACTGGCGCATATAGCTAAACAGAAAGCGGACTTATTCGCGTCTCTCTTTGCCTACAACTTACGTTTTGACAGTGGCAACAACGTTCCACCTCAATTACCTCACTGCGGGACCTCTACGTCCGAGATCCGTATCACAAATAAGGAGGTTCTTAAAGCCTTGCGGTGTCTAGACGTGAATAAATCTAGTGGACCAGATGCTATACCAGCTATAGTTCTAAAGGCACAAGCCTTTAGAGTTTATTTTTATAGAATAGGGGTGACAAACGAGCACGCAGTCCACCTGACGGCAAGTGGTTGCTGTGGACCATAGACATCTACATCTTTCGCGTTTGCGAATCAAAATGCAGATGCGTTGTCACCCGTGAGGACTAAGATGAAATGCCTCTCTTCCAGTAAAATGGGTCTCCGGTTCTCTCCACTCACCATACCAAACACAGCAGCATTAAACTGTTATTTTACGCTGGTATTCTGTGAGAGCGTGGTACTTCCCCAGTCGAGCCGACCCATTCGTGCTACAACTATACTATAAAAATAGTTGCAGCATGGCTCTACCACGTGTCTCCTGTGCTGACACGCTTGTTTCGCTTCTCATTTAGGACTGGAATAGTGCCAAAATCCTAGAAGCTAGCCAACGTGCAGCCTGTTCCAAAAAAGGCAGCCGTGCCGACCCTACTAATAATCATCATCATCATCATCATTACAGCCTTTCGTAAGTCCACTGCTAAACATAGGCCCTCCCCCAAGGAATGCCACAAAGCACGGTCCTGAGCCACCTGCATCCATCGTCTTCCTGCATGTCTTACCAGGTCGTAACTCCATCTAGTGGGGGGTCGCCCTACACTACACCTACCGGTACGAGGCTGCCACTCGAGAACCTTTCTTCCCCATCGGTTGTCGGTTCTTGCCAATAATCGGCCAATCTCAATTACCTCCATACTCCGCAAGATTATGGAGAGTATATTGAACGCCCGCTTAATGGAATACCTAGAACAGAATGACATCCTTAGTGACCGCCAATATGGTTTTCGCCGAAATCTGTCAGCTCCTTGTAGCGTATGCCACACACGTATGGGACGAGGCACTCGGGAACAGCGGGGAAGCACTTGCTGTTTCCCTTGATGCTCGAAGGCCTTTGACAGAGTTTACGTAAGCTTCCAACGTAAGGCTTATCCCCTGGTCTGATTAACTGGGTAAAGGACTTTCTAAGTGAATGGTCTCTCCAGGTTGACGTCGACTGCTGCTCATCCGATCCTGTTGCGACTAACGCCGGTGTTCCTCAGAGGTCCGTTCTCTTCGCAACTCTTTTCATGCTGCATATTAATGATCTGCTTATCCCCGGTATCTATGGGTATGGGTATAGGTATATAGGTATGGGTAACCAAGTCCAAGATAAACTATGGTAGAGCGTGTAAATCTCACACCACAGGCAGTCTCCGAATGGGGCGATGCCAATCTTGTGAAATTCAACGCCTCCAAAATAGAAGCGTGTCTCTTCACAGCTAAAAGGAGACAGCTCACTTGGCTGGCTTCTTCTTTCCGAAATGTATCACTGGAGTACACCGATCGCCTTCAGTTGTTGGGGGTTGAGATATCCTCAAATATGAAGTTTGGGCGGTTCATAGAGTCCAAGGCCAAAACAGCTGCAAGAAAGCTAGGAGTCCTTGCAAAGGTGCGGCTATACTTCACGCCGGGACAGCTGCTTACTTTATATGAAGCGCAAGTCCGGCCGTGCATGGGGTATTCCTGCCATATATGGGCTGGTGCTGCAAAATGACACCTAGCAGCGTTGCACTCAATAGAAAGACGTGCTAAAAGGCTTATTGGTGACCCGGATTTGGTTAAAACAAATCTCAACAGTCTCGAACACAGACGCAAATTAGCCAGTTTTCAGTTGAGTTTGTACAGGAATTGCATACTTTAATTACTCCCTCTCCACTCCACCATCGGAAAACCAGACGTTCGGGCAGTATGCACCGCTTCGTTGTTGACTTACCACGCATTCGAACCAAACGGTTTGCTACATCGTTCATTATGCGTACAACAAAGGAGTGGAATAAGTTGCCACCATCTGTGTTTTCATCCGAGTATAATGTGGGTGTCTTAAAGGCAAGAGTGAATAGGCTTTTGTTAAGTCAGTGCGCTTCACCATCTTAGGCTTCTTCACCACATACCATCAGTTGGGATTGTAGTTAAGCGCTGGCTTAAAGTAATAAAAAAAATACGCAGAAAAGCTATACAGTGTTTGAGGCTGCAGCAAAGATCGTATTTACTGGGGAAGAATCACTTTTACAGATTACCATTGTAAAAAAGCAGCATGATGTATCTGTGTTTTGAAAAAAAATCATCTTAGTCCGGGGGTTAACAACGGATCTGTATTTTGATGATATGAAATAAAATGTATTTATTTCTTTGGCATAACAAAATAAAATTTCCTAAATGAAATATCACTTTTATTTTAAATCTATTAAATCTTCTTACGTTACGGAGAAGAAACGGCCAAGGAAACTCCGCAAGTATTCTTTTTATACATAATTTCTAATTAAGGTAATATTTCAAGAGTATATTACATTTATATAGAATGAGAAACAGTAACAGACACATTGGTATCTAAAGCAAATTCTGTGATGCACTTAAAAAAAGAATCTTAAAAATTTGGAGCTCATCATTGCAAAGAAAACTCAAGCAGACCAACCTTCACATGATAATGGAGGTAGACGGATGCAGGAGACACAGAACCGTACTTTGTGGCATTACTTGCGGGAAGCCTTTGTTCAGCAACGGACTTGTAATGGGCTGTAATGGTGATGGTGAATGTTCTTCAGATGAGAACTTCTTTTGGTTACCAAATTTCAACATATGAAAATACAAGAGAAGCAAATCATCGACCAGATGTACTTGCGAAATCAGCTATCAGAACATTAATTAAATTGGCAATCGAGTAATTCGTTAATGATCGTTTCCTCCGTATAAACAACGTGTAACCAAGCCCCTGTGGTTCACGTAAAATGCGTTATTAGAAGCAGTATTCAAACTCATGGAAATAACTTTACTTCAAACAACTACACCATAAAAAATCAAATAAGTAATATGTGGTTTTATTACCTCTGCATTGGTCGGAGAGTAAGAGCTCATGTGTTAAGGGTATGGTCTTTGACCATCCCGTTAACCAATGCGTGTGTCAGTTAGTTCAGGTATTAATAACATTTTTCCACAAGATTGCATTTAGTAAGTTATCTAAATATTTTAAACACTACAATCCCATTTATAGCTAACAAAAAAATTACTGTCATAAATGCGATAACTATATTATGTACACCTATACGTTCCGTTGTTAGTTACATACTGTGCAATTATTGCGAAAATTTATCGCGTGCCTAATTCTATCAGTGCAGAAGAGGGGACCTGTACATGGTTAGAAATTCCTCGGAAATACCTCGGATCGAATTCCTTGAAGCTTGTGCGAGCTCGGTGAAGTCGATTTACGGAAGCACATAACTCTAGCATTTCTATTTGAATTTGTTATATAATCTTAGTCACAATCATGTTGAGATGCTGCCATCCATCTTCAGATTTGTTTCCTTCTGTCGCCTCTTACGGAACGTTATGGAGTAGTAGATATTCTGTTTAAGTGGTAAATGTCATTTTAAAAAAATATTGATTTATAGATATTATATATTTACGTGGTAGAGCCATGCTGCAGCTATATTAGTAGTATAGTTGTAGCATGAATGGGTCGGCTCGACCGGGGAAGGACCACGCTCTCACAGAATACCAGCGTCAAATAGAAGTTTAACACTGCTGTGTTTCGTATGGTGAGTGTAGAGAACCGGAGACCCTTTTAACTCACGGGTGATCTCTGCGTTTTGATTCGTAAATATAGATGTCTATGGGCCACAGCAACCACTTCCCATCAGGTGAACTTTGTGCTCGTTTGTCACTCGATCCTATAAAAAAAAATTATATTCGAAATAGTATTTTATAGAAGCTGTATGGTAGCGGCATAAGATAATCTATTACCCTATTTCCTCTCGTGGGTGTCTTAAAAGGTAAGTTTGGGATAATAGTCTTTATTATTTATAGCTTTCAACAGGTAGGTTAGGATATGATAGGTCAGAATAGGTATAATTATCTCGCTTACACCGACGCAAAATACTCAGACTGTGGACGGTAAGCGATTATTAATCCAGTCTATGGGTGGGGCACATGTAGGTATTACTTTACTGTGCTATAGTTACTGATAATTTGTTAATGTTTGCGTTAGCGCAGTCACCATATTGTCAACGTTTCTTATATTTTCTTAGGGCACTTGCGATAATATTAGCACATATTATAATACTCGTATTTACATTTTTAACCACACCAATCATAAAATGCTTGTGCTAGGAGTGGAAAATTCCGTATTCTTTACAGTTCGGTTACGGTGATTTTTATATTACGAGTATATATTTTTTATAGAATAAGGGTGACAAATGAGCACACAGTCTACCCGATGGCAAGTGATAGCT